TTTAAACACCTCTGAACGGATAGGGCTGTCGAATGCGGCTTTATAGTCGACAAGTTTTGGAAATTGGTACTACTGTGTACTAAATTTGGTACAATTTTATTTGTGGGTGAACCGATAGATTTGGAATCCTGAAACTTGGATTATCGATCACTGTAGGGTGATGGTTAGGGTAAAGTAGGAAGTTGTGGAAATTCGTACTACTGTGTATTTAATTTGGTACAGTTTGAATTGTGGGTGAACCGATGGAGTTGGAATCCTGAAACTTGGATTAAGAATCACTGTGGGGTGACGGTTTGGGTAAAGTAGGAAGTTTTGTGTGGTGGGTGAATCACTAGAGTTGAAATCCTTAAATTTGAATTTGGAACCATTGTGGGGGTGAATGCTTGGGTTAAGTAGGAGGTTTTGGAAATTCGTACTTCTGTGTACTATATTTAGCACAATTTGAATTGTGGGTGAAATCCTTAAATTTGAATTTGGAATCATTGTGGGGGTGTAGGATCGGGGTATGCAGGAAGTTTTGTTGGATGGTTGAGAAGGGTACTTATGGAAATGATGTGAGCTAAATGGAACTAAATTTGGTAAAATTTGGATTTGGGTGAACCTTTAGAGCTCAAATCATGAAATTTGGTACTGAATGGTACTCAAATTCAATTTATGGTCGATATTAATGTGTTAGCGTGGATATTTAAAAATATTAAAAATATTTTTTTTACACTAATAATGAATCTTCTTAAAGAGCGTCACTTAATGACGAAGGTCGTCCAAAAATGAATACGAATAGCTAAAATATGACCTGGGTTATTGAACATTTCATTCTATAGATTTTCTGTTATAAAAGTAGAAGTTCATGGCGTTTTGCGATATTAAAAAAAGTCTGTCCAAGGCTCTTCTATTTTTTCTCTTGAAATTGTTGTAAAGAAATTTGGAAAAAATATTAACCTGATTCGTTTATAAAATCACCATAAGTGCCAAATAATGTATCCAAGCAATTGGCGGTGAAAGTTTTAGAAGTGTTCAAAAAAAAAGAAGCAATTAGAGGCACTTACATTTTAATGGCGGATTGTTTGAGTTAGGACCACCACGCGACCCTCTAAGATGACTTTCTTATTTATCCGACTCAATTGATTATAATAAATTCAGATTAAGATATTACATTTTTATCCAATTTCGTCTGAATTGACATTTATCATAACCTACTGAAAGAACATTTTTCTATTTTTTTCTTAAACAATTATATTATTTTTATAAAATCAACTAATTATTTATTTATGTTTTTCTTTTCATGTGTCCTGAATTCATATAACAGGTAAGTTCCACATTTCTTGTTATTAATATACTCTTTGATATTCAACAACTATAAATGAAACCAGTGAGCGGAGCAGTATAGTCGGACGGGGCCGACTATATGATACCCTACACACCTTCCACTTCTGTGGTTCAATATATTCTGAGCTTGGGCAATATTTCGCGATATTTGAACCCTCTTGACCGACTAGATGTCAACAACTATTTCTAATATTCAGTAGACGAGGGCTGTACTTGTCCAGATTCTCTTTACCGTGGGTTATGTTGTGATGTTGGGCTTTCAATTGTGGCCTATAGATCGACTCGAAAACAAAAACACAAAAAAAAAACCAGTGAGCGGAGCAGTATAGTCGGACGGGGCCGACCATACGATACCCTACACAACTACCACGGAATTCTAACTTTCTGCGGAAGTTTACTCCGATGTTTACTCGTGATATTGCATCCTCTTGCCCGATTAGAGGTCAACAGAACATTTTCCTTGCATTTTCGAATATTCAGTAAAGCCCTTCTAATAACTTGTCCAGATTCCCTTCACGGTGGGTTGTGTTGTGATTTTCGGATTATATTCGACTCGAAAAAAATTAAGTTTTCGGTCCATTTCATCTCAAAATTTTAATCTGATCATCACCGAAAATTATAAGCGTTGTCCTTGACCACAACTGGAACTTCAAAAAATTTCCAAAGCGATCAGCGCTATATTTCCGTTCTCTAATTTGGTAATGGGTTACTAAATAATATCTAAATACGTAAGCACCTGTACATATTTGAGTGTAACTCCCACATCCGAGTACATACGACAATATAATGGGTATCAATTTAAAGGTCAACCACTCCCCTTGGATATACTATCAACTTATAATATACGCTATAGAATACAAATTTGTCATTTTTCACACAAAAGTCAGGGTCCATTTGACCCGCTCAATATTGACCGATCTTTATCAAACCGGCATGATTATTCTTTGGCCCAATCCCCTTCTACATGTACAAATTCTAGATGTTTGGGCCATAATTGCGGCCTCTGGAGCGACCAGAAAAACCGACAAAAATTAAGTATTTGGTCCATTTCATCCTCTAAATATTAACCGATCTTAACCAAAAACAATAGGGGTCTTCATTGGCCAGAACCCATCCTACACGCAAAATTTCGTGAAGATTGGTCCATAACTGTGGCCTGTATCGTGTTTACAAATTTAATGGACAGACGGACAGACGGACGGACACACATGTATAGATCGACTCAGCTAGTCGAGATATGACGATCGGTATACTTAAAGGTGGGTCTAGGACCAATATTTCGCGGCGTTACAAACTCTTGGGGCTGCATAAAGCTATAATACCCCGACAACATAGTTGTGTTGGGTATACTAATTTAAATAAATGAAATACAAATTTTGAAATCATTTCCAAAACTATTACATTGCCACCACTGATCTCCATTTATCCTTAACATCACTACAGTTTTCAATTGCCAGTTCTAGTAAGGAATGCATTGCTACGTGACATCGCAAGCCACCATCTGTAACCAACTGCTGCTTTCCAGTCGTACAACAAACAAACAAATACAGTTACAGTTACCATTACAGACTCAGGTTTTTCGGTATTTAGTTGGGAGATTATCTATAATTGTGTGTGTGTGAACGAGTGTTTGTGTGCCCGGGCATTTTACCTCAGAACATCTTGGCCGCTAGAATTTGAGGTTCTTAGCTCTGCTTAGGGTAATAGTAACTAAATTTTATGACTTGATAGTAACGATGTGTTGTTTAACTCAACAAATGGTTTGTCTTTCTCTATTTTTCAATATTTACGACTGGAATTCGCATAGTTTTCTTCTTCTTTTTCTACTTCCTTGTCTGCATACCCATTTAACCAAAGTTATTTGTGAGTTTGTCTTTCGACTTGGCCTGGCTGGATGGCTTGCTGGCTGTCTGGCTGGCATTGACAAAAGAACTTATACGCTCTTTTGCCTTTATAATAAAATTAAATAGAAGAGCTAGAAGTGGACTATCATCTGATATTCAACCGTAAATTACATGTGCTTTTGATAGGTTTCTATGGTGGAAGTTGGTAATTTAATTTTACCTATTGTCAGTTATGTTTATAAATTATTTATATATCTATTTGTTGTAGTTGTTGTATTTAACTAATGGTTGATGTATAAATATTTAATGACTTGTCTTCACCTTGATTACAGGTGGGTTTGCGTAAGAGAAAATTGTGGATTAGTTTGAAACTCTGCACATCTGAACTATTTTAAAATATTAGCTGGTTATTAAAAATTTTGTAAAATGAACTGTTTTCTACTGAAAAATCCAAAATGTCTATCTTTAGACACATCAGTTGGAAAATAAGTTTAGCTTTATATAAATGGAACGGACGCGTATATAGGGGGCTATATCAAAACATGGATCTATATTGGAAGTCCTCCATGAATATGGATGGTCAAATTTCTGCCGCTTCCATTCAAGACTGTAGTTAAAACCTTCGAAAAGCGACAGAATATCTACATCGACGATCTGAAATATTAGTTAGTAGCATATGTAGGTGTGCTGTAGGTCAAGGGATGTATCATTTGCCTGTCGCGTGTCTTTGGTTGCTACATCTCGTCACTTGTTCGCGGATCGTTCACATATCTACAGAGACTTTATAGTCTGTATGAAAGACCATATAGAAAAAATATGACCCGAGGTCTTGGGAATTTAATTTTATATATTTTTCTATAAAAAAAATAACTCCAGAAGTTTTGGAGTTTGATACGAGGTCTTGAAAATATCTTCCAAAGAACATATTTATTCACGAAGTCTTCGGAACATCCACACGATGTTAAAATTCCACTCAAGGCCTGAATGAAATAAAGATCAGCTTTGATGCCGTGGGATTCTTTTTATTAAAGAAAGCGCATCCCATAGGTCTTCGTCGTTGAGTTGAAACTAATGAAACTATGTCAATTTTCTGGTCCTCAATCAAACCAAAAATATGTCCTGATTTCTTGCAAATTTTGTTTGTATTAAAAATGTCAGATATATTGCAAAGGCCAACATAAGGTACTGTTGCCATACAGGGTGAGATGAAAAAACTGCAACCAACTTCAGTCTGCTGTCATTATTCCAGTGACAGCTCATAAAATTATTCCAGTGGCAGCTCAGAAAAAAGGGTATTCGTGATGGAATTCAAACGTCAAGGTGTGATTTCTTTATATTTGGCTGTAAACCACATCGTGAGAGCACTCCAACATTTAAATGTGAATAAATATTTTGTGTCTCGTACATTGCTCGTTACCGTGATACTGGTAGCGTAGACCGACGTCAAGGAAGTGGACGGAAGAGAACAGCAACATCAGCAGAAATGGTTCGAAAAGTAAAGAATCGATCAAGTCGCTTCCGAGTGGCCGAAAAATGGCTCGTGAGCTGAACATATCGCTATATTCCATTCGGCAAATATTGAAAAATGAGCTTGGGGTAAAGCCATTGAAATTCCAGCGCACAATGGCCACCAAAATCTCCGGATACCAATCCGTTGGACTATTGTGTCTGGAGTATTTTAGAAAGCAATGGTGTCACTAAAAAATACCAGAGTGTCGATCACCTCAAGCAAGCGCTTCGCCGGGAATGGGCCAAAATACCGCAGAGCAAAATTCGGGTAGCGTGTGACGGTTTCCTTGGCCGTTTGAAGGCCATAATTCGTGCCCAAAGGTGACCAATTCGAACAAATCTAAACTTTTTCTAAAATTTAATGCTATTTCCGAAATTTTTTGCTTTTATTCAATAAAATTTAAAAAAAATTAATAATTATGGCGTTTGACTTTGTTGCAGTTTTTTACCTCACCTTGTTCATATACTATATCGATTTTCTGGTTCGTCATCCTTTCTATATAAACAGATCGTCTGCAGAGACTCACTGATCATTGAACTCGTCTATTGAGACTTTCTGGTATTTCAGCTGTATAGAACCTTAGAACCTCCGTGACATTCCAGCCCGCCGAGGAACTCTGATCCTTGAGCACGTTTATTTAAATTCTCCGGTTCTTCAGCACATGAGAGGAATCTCCTTGGCCCTCCATCTCATCCATAGAGATTCGCTAAAGTCCTCGGAATCTCTTTGCAAAAGTTCACACCACAATCAGTTGTGTAATATCTGACGATTTTTTCAATGCCAGCTTAAGGCACAGCGACTATACGACTTCATAGATGAGTTGAAAACCCAATGAACCTATATAGATTTTCTTATCCTTGATTCCATGTCCTGATGCTTGATCTCGTCTATATAGATTCTCTGGTCTGACATAGACGCTCAGCTTTCAGAAATCACTACAGCTCTTTTATAATTATTACCTTCGACTACCATTTTAAGGGAGCTAGAAACTCCCGTCAAGTCATATTCAGGGTCCCGGATATATATCTTATTATTTGTTTACCCCTTTCTTAGCCTTCACCTTGCCGATCGTCTAGGTCATAATCAGTTAAAAAAATTCAATTCAGTAGAGTTCCTTTGTTGTTTCTATGGAAAAAATTTTCACCTACTGTGCCTCATGTAAAGAGAGCATTTTTTTTTTTTTTTGAGCCACAAATCTTCGATTACCGATCAGATTGTTTCCAAAGGAAACATGGCTCTTTAGAAACTAATCGATCTCAGTAGTACGAATTTGCAATACTTCCTACCTAAACCAAACCCACACCCCCACACTTATCCTAAATCCAAGTTTCAGTATTCCAAATCTATCGGTTCACTCACAATTCAAATTGTACCAAATATAGTACATTGTAGAACCAATTTCCAAAATTGTTTCCTACATACCCCAATCCTACACCTGCACAGAGATCCTAAAACCAAGTTTCATGATTCCAACTCTATCGGTTTATCTACATTTCAAATTGTACCAAATTTAGGACACAGTAGTACGAATTGCCAATACTTACAACTTAAACCAAACCCACACCCCTACGGTGATCCTAAATCCAAGTTTGAGGATTCCAACTCTATCGGTTCACCCACAATTCAAAGTGTACCAAATTTAGTACATATTAGTAACAAATTTTAAAACTTCCCACATATCTCAATCATACACCCCTACAGTGATCCTGACTCCAAATTTCATGATTATAGGTCTATAGGTTGGCCTAAAATTCAAATTGTACCAAATTTAGTACCATTTGTATCCATGAATATAAATTGCTTCAACTGATTCCTGGCCCAATCCTAATCCCCTACAATGATCCTGACTCCAAAATTCATTGTTTCAGCTCTATCGGTTCACCCAAATCCAAATTGTACCAATTATAGTACGATTTAGTACTTTTCGTATATATCAGTAAAAAAATTCCATAACTACGCACATATCCCACTCCAACACTCCGATGGTAATGTTACTTTCAAATTTCACGATTCCAGCTCGATTTGTACCTCCAAAATAAATTTGTACCAAATATAGTACCATATAGTAATTTTCGTACATATGAGTACACACTTTCAAAACCATTTCCTTAAATTGACCCTACTTTCCAACCTTAATTAACACTCTAAATTTCAAGTTTTTAGCGCTATCCGTTCACATGCTACGAAATTTTACCAAATTTAGTACATTTTCCGTACTTTTCGGATAATTATAGTTTGAATTTCCAAAAACCCTTTGGTACATTTATCCTACACTCCATCAACGACCTCCATACCAAATTTCAGAGTTTTAGCTCGACCGGTTGGCAAAATACAAATGGTATCACATTTAGTACTTTTCGTACCATTCTAGTACGGATTTCCAAAAACCCAGCCTTATCTGTCACCTTTGGACCAATAGTGATCCTCACCAAAAATTTCAAGATTCTAGTTTCAGCCGTTTCTCCTGGGCGTTGATAAATCGTTAAATCAGTCAGTCAATCAATCACTTTACTCATTTATTAGTATAGATTAATTTGTTCAATATGTCGCGAGACTTCGAAATGGGGGAACATTTATCCGTTGTATATCTCTGCCAACAGAAAGTGCTTTTGAAAGGCTTATTCGAAGCTGAAAAACTGACCAAGAAGAAACATTGGTACTACTATGGTGATTTGTCTACATTTATCGAGAAAATTATAAGATAGCCTAGCGAAGTTCCTGGTCTATGGAAAATAAATTTTCGGCCTTCAAATTTATATCACTTATGAATTATGCTCAGAATTTAGCTTTGTGGAATGTTGTCTTTAGTTTTCAATATTTCGTAGATGCAATTTAATAAAATTTCATTTATGACCCAAATACTGTAATAGTTCTATTATATGTTTAATAATATGGTGTGAAATAATCACTGATAAAGACAATATATATTAATGTGCAATGGTAATTTACTACAGAAATAAATGTGATGACATGTATTAAAATATCAACTAAGAATATAAATATATGTTATTGCAGTGCAATTAAATTTAAATTGTCTTATCCTAAAGGTTTATATTCCATTGGGATAACTTACCAGTATATTTAATTATTGTCATAAGATAATATATTATGGCCAATATAAATGCACGAAAAATATTTATGTTGATAATATGCTTCAAAGGCGCAATTATTTGTGGAAGTATTTTAAATAAATTCAAAAATAATGACAATGGTGTACGATATAGCCTTTTTACCACACAAAATCATGTATCTATTTTTATATTTCGTTTAAAATTTTAATCACGATTTTTGCAGGTTATTTAAAAACACAGAATAACTATTTTGCCCATATGGTCTTATCTTTGTGTGTGTATTTTGTAGTGTTTAAAAAATAATGTATTTGTGTATCGCATTGTATTGCACATAAAACGTAGCTAAGTCATTAATTTTGGGTTGAAAACAAATGTTATGTTTTTCTTTTGTATTTGTACACTCACTCATTCCCGCTAGATTTATTAGCGCAATTTTAAAAAATCGCTTTGAAGTCGTGATTTGTGTGGTTGAGGTATTGTATTGCAAGTCAATGTAAACACATACATAATATTGGGAATGTGTGTGCATAGAATTTAATTTTTTTTTTAAATAATATTAAAAATAATAGCACTGCCTTTAATACAATTTGAGGATTTGAAAACACAACCTAAAAACTAGACTAGTGTGTTCGAAAAAACTCGATTTGACTAACCGATTTGGTCCAATTGTAGTAACTAACTTCCCAAAGATGCTCAACGAGCTCAACAGTTTTCAACTTATTATCCATTTCATGATTTCAAAAGTATATAAAAACCCAAACCCATAACGCTCCGAATTGAGTTCATTCGTCGTTTTCAATCATGTAAGGTCCAATCACACCTTCGGAACATTTTCGTCAATGTCAGACTTTCAACTGAAAATAATTCCAATCCGCTACTTTTGAAACCACCATTCATACAAAGTCGGGTGAAAATATGTATAGTTAAGATAAATTTACAACTTAAGCGGTTTCATCTAAACTTATTCTAGACTTAATTCGTCGATACCCGTATAGGGGGATAGGGACGCCAAAATGCCCCAATTCAGATGAAAGTCACTGGTTATGCAAAAATTAAAACTGAACGGCCAGACATATTGCTACACAATATGTCTGATCGTTCTGGCGTTCTCAACAGTTGCCAAATGGCTAGGTTTTCCGAAGAGACAAGCGGTCATTTGCTTCCATTAGTTCAAATTACTGCAAACAAAAATTATTTCAAAATACTGTAGACAACATAACACACGGCCAACAAAGTCACGACCCAAACCAAGTACTTCTTGGGACAAATTTATTGATGAGAATTGAGAGAAAAAAACTCCAATTGGAATAAATATGAAATTTGATATTGATACGTCAAGTAGTATAGTCCCTACAGAGCACTATGGGCCAGAGATCCAATTTTTTGGCCAAATATCAAACTATAATAGTTTGGATCGAAAACGGTGCTATTGAATTAATCAAATTATTTTTGAACATATTTATGTAGAGTTTTGGTCACCGCCATACACTCCGGACTTGGCACCAAGCGGTTATCATATTTTATTATTTGTCTTTGTGAATATGTTTGTAACAGGCAAAAGGAAACGAGACAGACACATGGTTCCTTTTGAGAATATACATAGAATCACTTTCTAAGTCGATTTATGCATGTCCGTCCGTCTGTCTGTCCATGTTAAATTGATTCGAATTAGATGAAATTTGGCGCAGCTCATTTGTTTGGCCCAGGGACGAACCCTATTGAAATTGGGAAAAATCGGTTCAGATTTAGATATAGCTCCCGTATATATTTTCGCCCGATTTAAGGTAAGTGGTGCACCAAAGTACCTATATATCTTTCGATTTCCACGATCTCAGTACTTATTCAACATATATAACAACGTTATGGCTGATTATTGTCCTCAGACACTTAATTATAAAAAATAGTACCAAAAAGATATAAAAACCAGTGAGCGGAGCAGTATAGTCGGACGGGGCCGACCATACGATACCCTACACAACTATCACGGAACTCAAATTTTCTGCGGATATTTATTCCGAGCCTGGGCAATATTTCGTGATATTTGCACCCTCTTGCCCGATAGAGGTAAACAGCACCTCTTCCTCACACTGACATATTACGAGTATTCAGTACAGCTATTGTCAAGATTTCCTTCGCCGTGGGTTGCGTTTTGATGTTCGGCTTTCATTTGTGGTCTATAGATCGACTCGAAAATAAAACAAACCAGTGAGCGGAGCAGTATAGTCGGACGGGGCCGACCATACGATACCCTACACAACTACCACGAACTCTAACTTTCTGAGGATGTTTATTCCGAGTCTGAGTAATATTTCGTGATATTTGCCCCCTCTTGTCCGATTAGAGGT